ACCTTTGACCTCTGTCACACCACATAGAGGCATGATGGGATACCAAGAGTCACTGCAGCGGAGTCCGCTGTGAAGCAGAAAATAAAAGCTAAATACTTCCTACTCCTACCTTCCTTACCTCCTTTATAACCTCCACCCTTCCTTTGTTATCTCCTTCTGTCCTTTCCTACCTTCTTTAACCCTCCTTCCTCAATTCCTCTTTTTCTTTTCTTTTCTTTCTTCCCTTTCCTTCGTCCTTCTTTCCTTCCTTACCCCAGTCGTTTCCCTCCTTGCCTTTTCACTTCCTCCCCTACCTCCTTCTGTCCTTCCCTCACACCCTCTTTCCTTCTTTACCTCCTTATTTCCTAACATTACCATCTTTATCCTTACCTCCCCATTTCCTTTGTTATGTCCTTCCTTCCTTCCTGACAGGAGACAGGTGGATGCAGTGATGTACGAGGTCTTCTCTGTCCCCTCTGGGACCCCATCCTCCCCAGTACAGAATGCTGTGGTTGAACTGGCTGCGTGTGACGGTCCAGTAGCTCAAACGTACACTCTGGAGTCAGACGCAGTAACCATAGCAACCGTGGCTCACAGCATCATCACAAATCCTAGGTAGGTAAAATTTAAAAAAAAATTTAAATCAACACAATGTTGCTTTCAATAATAATTATTATCCTGTAATAGATAGATAGATAGATAGATAGATAGATAGATAGATAGATAGATAGATAGATAGATAGATAGATAGATAGATAGATAGATAGATACTTTATTCATCCCCAAGGGGAAATTCACAGTTTCCAGCAGTATCCACAAACTGATAATAATAATAATAATAATAATAATAATAACAACAACAAGAGGAGGTCAATTTAGAAGAACTAATAGAATAAAGTAGAATAAATAGCTAAATAACGAGCATGGGGCTAGTGTCCTAAGGTGCATGGTCAAATCCAGTGCTTGAAAGGCCTAAGTGTACCTAAGTAGTGTCAGTCAGTCAGTGGTCACATAATGCGTTCAATAAAAAGTCAGTGCTTTATTTTCAGTGCAGCTGTTACTTAAAAGCTCAGAATAACCAACCACTGGAACACAAACTATCAAAGAGTCAGTTTATTGATGAATTTATTGATGAATTTATTGGTGGTTTTGAACATTTGTAATTTTCACTGATGGCTGTTTATAGTGTTTGTGCTGCTATCGATCCATCAGAGGGGAGGAAGACATTATAAATAATCTATAATTAATAATTCACTGAAACAGCAGCCGGTTGGATTATTCTCCTTTTACCACAAACACTGAGAGTTCACCTGCACTCCCTTTACTCACACACACACACACACACATACACACAAACGAGTGTGTGTGTGTGTGTGTGTGTGTGTGTGTGTGTGTGTGTGTGTGTGTGTGTGTGTGTGTGTGTGTTTCAGCTTGTTTCATCACTTTCTTACGCAATCACAGTGTAAACTGTCAGACTCCGAATGTAGAGAAACAGCTCTACCTGCTGGACGATGGCTGAACTGCACCGATACAAAGAGCCTGTGCAGTGAGAATTAATATAAATAAATAAATGAGAGTAAATGAAGCACATAATTAATATTGATGAGGACAAACATATTCTGAGTGCAGATATCTGCATGCTGTATCAATATTAAATATAAATGGTGAGTGTACTGCTGGTATCTCATAGTCATCATCATTATCTATTAGTAAAGTTTGTGTATCAATAATGTGACTTGATCCACATATAGATAATAATAATAAAGAGCTGATGGGATCCTGAACCTTCTTATTACTTAACTTCTTTATGAAGAAATAAAATGATCCAAAACTCTTTCTGTCCTTAGGTTGGAGCCACTGATCCAGATTCTGATGTACAATGTCTGTAACACATCACCGACCTCCATCACCGACCTTCATCACATCATGGAAGAGGACCGGATATGGAAGAGGACCACGTATGAAAGAGGACCAGATCAGACGTGAAAAGGTTCTATGCGATTTGTGCCATTCACACTGACATGAAAACAAAATATCACACACATATGAGCAGAAACAGCTGACTAATGTAAATGGAGACAAAGACAATTGTCTCGTAATCCGTCCACAAGGGTCTGTTTCATTCAGGACCTCATGAGACCGAACAAAATAGAGAAGAAAAAAGCTTGTGGGGACATCGTGGCAATTCCTAACAGAAGTTATCTCAGGAAATTTTCAAATAGAGCAGGTCTAGACCGAACTCTTTATAACATTATTTACAGAGACCCAACAGTACCACCATGAGCAAGACCTTGGAGACAACGGCAAGGAAAAACTACCTTTTAAGAGGAAGAAACCTAGGACAGACCCCGACTCTAGGTGGGTGGGAGAGAGAGGGAGACAGAGACAGGCAGATGGACGGACGGACAGACAGACAGACAGACAGACAGACAGACAGACAGACAGAGGTGCACAGCAACAACTACACTAATAGTAGTGACATTAGGGCAACAGTAGAGGACATTATGGGACAGTAGAGGACATTAAGGGGACAGTAGAGGACATTAGGGGGACAGTAGAGGACATTAGGGGACCTTAGGGGACAGTAGAGGACATTAGAGGACATTAGGGAAACAGTAGAGGACAGCAGAGGACATTAGGGGACAGTAGAGGACAGTAGAGGACATTAAGGGCACAGTAGAGGACATTAGGGGACCTTAGGGGACAGTAGAGGACATTAGGGGACAGAAGAGGACATTAGGGGACCTTAGGGGACAGTAGAGGACATTAGATGACATTAGGGGAACAGTAGAGGACAGTAGAGGGCATTAGGGGACAGAAGGGGAACAGTAGAGGACATTAAGGGCCCAGTAGAGGACATTAGGGGACCTTAGGGGACAAAAGAGGACCTTAGGGGACATTAGGGGAACAGTAGAGGACATTAGGCAACATTAGGGGAACAGTAGAGGACAGCAGAGGACATTAGGGGACGGTAGAGGACATTAGAGGACATTAAGGGGACAGTAGAGGACATTAGGGGGACAGTAGAGGACATTAGGCAACATTAGGGGACATTAGGGGAACAGTGGAGGACAGCAGAGGACATTAGGGGATGGTAGAGGACATTAGAGGACATTAGGGGAACAGTAGAGGACATTAGGGGACATTAAGGGCCCAGTAGAGGACATTAGGGGGACAGTAGAGGACATTAGGGGACCTTAGGGGACAGTAGAGGACATTAGAGGACATTAGGGAAACAGTAGAGGACAGCAGAGGACATTAGGGGACAGTAGAGGGCAGTAGAGGACATTAAGGGCACAGTAGAGGACATTAGGGGACAGTAGAGGACATTAGGGGACAGAAGAGGACATTAGGGGACCTTAGGGGACAGTAGAGGACATTAGATGACATTAGGGGAACAGTAGAGGACAGTAGAGGGCATTAGGGGACAGAAGGGGAACAGTAGAGGACATTAAGGGCCCAGTAGAGGACATTAGGGGACCTTAGGGGACAGTAGAGGACATTAGAGGACATTAGGGGAACAGTAGAGGACATTAGGCAACATTAGGGGAACAGTAGAGGACAGCAGAGGACATTAGGGGACGGTAGAGGACATTAGAGGACATTAAGGGGACAGTAGAGGACATTAGGGGGACAGTAGAGGACATTAGGGGAACAGTAGAGGACATTAGGGGGGACAGTAGAGGACATTAGAGGACATTAGGGGACAGTAGAGGACATTAGGGGAACAGTAGAGGACAGCAGAGGACATTAGGGGATGGTAGAGGACATTAGAGGACATTAGGGGAACAGTAGAGGACATTAGGGGGACATTAGAGGACATTAGGGGACATTAGGGGGACATTAGAGGACATTAGAGGACATTAGGGGACATTAGGGGGACAGTAGAGGACATTAGGGGACAGAAGAGGACATTAGGGGACCTTAGGGGACATTAGGGGACATTAGGGGAACAGTAGAGGACATTAGGGGGACAGTAGAGGACATTAGAGGACATTAGGGGGACAGTAGAGGTCCTACTGTAGTGCAGTCTCTGAGCCACCAGAGGACGCTGTCCTACAACAAGCAGTCTCACTCTGTTTCCATACAGCTGTTCATTACGTCATACTGCTGCTCAATGTATTTCCATGCTCTACTGCCATGACGACACTAGTAGGCCGTCCGCCATCAAGTCCTCTTTCACCAACCGGACGTTAGGTCATACTTCCTTCAAAATGAAAGCACACCATTTAATCCTCTGTGCCCAGCAGATGGTTGCTGCTCCAGGTCCTCAGTGTGAAAGAGAACCAGGTCTCAGCTGAACTGGTTCAGTAAAGGTGAGATTTAAAGAGACTCTGTGATCAGCTGTTCACTGTGGATAATGAGTGTGAGCTTGTGTATATATATATATTGTGTGTATATAAAATGTATATTTTCTGTTTAATAAAGTCACTGTGCTGTCGGGGTGATGGGAGGACGGATGTTATATATATGTCTCTATATATTTTTATTTTTATGTATATGTATATATGTCATATCACTACTGAATCTGTAACTGTAACATAATCTAATCTCATTAAAGATCCAACACTCAGTTCTCCTTCAGGCTCACAGTGAGGAACACAAGCAGACAAACATCAGAACCAGAATTCATACATAGAAAAATATCAATAAAGATAAAACAGAGACGACCTAGACGAATATAAAAGACCATAATTTAAAATGAGTGGAGAGCTGGACAGGAAGTGTTAATGATATTTACAATCCAAAGGATGAGCATTAATGTAAATTCAGGCTGGCAGATTATTACATTATTATTATTAATACACAATCTGATCAGATTCTACAAAACTAACAATCAAACAAACATAAATATATGATGAAGTTTCTCATTATATTGATTTACAGAATCCTTTTATTGGCACAAATGAGCTTCCATACAACTGACTGAGTCTTTATTAGAAGAGTATTTTGTCACAAATTCATTGCATTTATTTTGAAAGGTGCCACCGGATGTAGCTGTGTGTCTCTGCGGGAGCTTCACCTGTCCGGTGGCAGCGCAGCGAGGACCGGGTTTTCTTCATTTAAACGGCTCCTGCAGTGCCGGACCCATCTGTACCGAGTCCCTCACGCTCCTCTAGCCGCAGTCGGGTCTCGGTCTCTCGGCCATGGCCTCTATCGTGTGCCGGGTCCAGTACCTGGAGGACTCGGATCCGTTTATCTGCACTAACTTTCCCGAACCTCGGAGACCTCCGACGGTGAGTGTGGAGGACAACCTGCCGCTCAGCGAGCAGATCGCCGGGATACACAAGCTGCTGGAGGCGCCTCTGAAGGTGGGTCGGCTGCCAATCACACAATCGATAATCAATCAGTAATGTGATTGATTGCTGGTGCTGCTGATGGATGTTTGACACCTGTGGAGAAATAAGCAGTACAGTTATTAAAGCCACAGGTGTGAGACATCCCTGAAGTTTATGCTCACACACCAAACTCCCTTTAAAAATCATGTGAATTAATGTTTCTGTGGCAGTTTGTCCATTTAAATAAAGATTTAAAGGCTCAACCTCAATGTGGGAGAGCTGTAACCCATCAGCAGTTATTTCTGTCAGAGGTAATCAAAGTTCATGTGAGCAGTTATTGCCCCCCTGGGGTGATGCTTGTTGCTGAATTGACCAGAAGGCTTAAATTGATGGATCAGTCACGTGCTTAATAGTGAATTGTTCCACATTAACAATGGCTCATTTTTAAAGGGAGTCTGGTATGAAGTTTTCTCAAGCGTCTGATCTATAATCTGATCTATAATCTGATCTATAATCTATACCGGGCCCAGTTCTGTGATGACCAAGGGTTGTTGACTTGTTTATGTGCTGAGGCACGCCCCCTCTGAAGCTCATTGGCCGATATCTTAAAAACATAATAAGTTATCAATATGTTTTATGCAACTATTGATCAGCTTCGTCCGATGATCCACAGACGATCTGGTAGCAGTTGGACCGACGATTCAGGACGAGACAGCAGAAATGTGGGAAATCCAGTTAGCGGACTTTAGTGGTCCGAGAGCGTTGTTACAGCACCACCATCTGGCCGATTGGGCTCATGTTCACGCATCATTTCCTGTTATTGGACCCAGTTTCATGGTTGTAGATCAGCTGCGAGCCATAAATAATAATACATCCTCATAAAGATGGACGACAGGAATGCAGACCCTCTCTATCGCCCCCTGGTGGCTGACTGACCCCGATCACTACGGCGCGGACTCTGGCTCCGAAAGGAGGGAGATGGCAGCGATATATATTGTTAAAATGATAAAAATCCAGATAGAGAATTGTATAAAATATTAATATTAAACTCATCTCTGATCAATAATCACTGAGTTCACAGTTAAAGATCCATAAGCTCTGTCTCTGCTGGTCTCTGAAGGAACCACGGCTGTCTGGTTCCAGCTCTCTGAGTAACGCCGCTGCTTCCTGCACATCAACGGGATTCGTCCTACTTTTGTCCTGTTTTCCAAAGAGGAAGTGAACGCAGCTTTAGTGCTCTCAGGTTCTCTCAGCGTGAAGTCATTTCAGAGTTCATTCCTCAGTTATCTGTCAGAGGCTGAAGTTCACACTGAGATAAAGTCCGAAACATTACTCAGCAGTCTGATGTTTCCTCTTATGAAACGTTCTCATTATAATAATAATAATAATAATAATTATAACACTGGAACACTTTTATTATTCACTTTATTCTTTACGAACTCCGTGTGTAAGGAATGCAGTCCACGCTGCTGCGAGACGTTCGGACCCCGCTGGAATCTCCAGGATCAGATAAAGACCGGAGAGCGGCGCTAGATTACATTCCTCCACCAACCCATTAATTGTTCCCATCATGCCGCAGGGCTCGACCTGCAGGCCGAGATCCACCAAGGTGATACAGAGACTCTCCAACGTGAGCATTATTTGGATCCTCTGGGTTTCTGAGCTGGTTTTCTCCCTCCTCCCTGGTTGTGGAGGGACAGGGTGGACCCTGTAAACAGGAGATAAGCTGGACGGATGGATGGACGGATGTAATACTAACAGCACAGCCTTGATAAGAACTGAACAGGCTTTTCCTTCCGCACATAAAGGCAGCGGCTGCAGAAAAACTGCCTGCCGATGACTTTCTGTTTCTTCCACTCATTGTCTCTGGTCCAATACACACATATGGTTAGCCTAGCTTAGCACAAACACTAGAAGTAGGGGGGGACTGCTAACATAACTCCATCAAAAGAAATGCAGTGTAATCATCCTCTGTGCTCTACTGCCACAGTCTGAACCTTGAATACAGCTGATTGGGCCGATATTGATTACCAATTGCCAATATAGTGAATTTATGAGCTGGAATGAAAATAGACGTTTTCTATGTGGTCTGCTTTCTTAAACAACTTGAACAACAACATGTTGATAACAATATTCCAGTTAATTATTCTTTAACATGTTCAATAATTTAACAGAAACATTATTATCCAGTTCCAGTGGATGCTGCTGAGAGATTAAGATTAATAAACCACTTTACACCAATGTCACACATCACAAGGTTGTATAAAAGTTCCTTCATGCTACACACACACAACCAGAATCAAATTCATACAGTAACATGAAAATAAAACGAATGATTTATGTACATACACACCCAGGACATAATGCTGCAGTGTGATATGTTACCACAGAGTATTCACTGTAAACATAAATCATGTGACAGATGAATCGTGGTATCAAGGCTCAAAGACTTAAAGATTTTATAATTTGATAAATAAAATATAAGAGAAAATATATTTAGTCGATTTTTGTGTAACAAGGGATCTTTTTCAGTCATAATGTGTCTTTAATCTCATGTGCTTAAATAACTGGTGAGTGAATCCGATGGCGACCCCAGTATCGACCTGTGAGTGTGTTTCACAATGTATGTTTCAGTATTTTCTTACAGCTCTTACACAGCAAATATCAGATAATGTAACATCATCAGAACATATAACGTCAGTGCCATATATCTGTGTCACAGTCACGAATGCTAATGCTAAACATTATACCTGTGAAACATCAGCGTGTGAGCGTGTTAGCATGCTAATGTTATGTGTGGTATGTGTTGGAGGTGGATGAGGATTTGCAGTCTGTGTTGCTGTTGTTGTAGAAGAATGTGGTTCTGCTGGTTCAGAGACTCTGGAGCGTGTTCAGCATCAGACCTGATTGTTTTCTGCCCTCGACTCCAGCTTCATACCTGACCGTGACTCATGGACGCTCAGCCTGCCAGGCTATAAATAGTCAGGAAGCATTCTGATCTCAGCACGCGCAGCAAAACAGCAAAAAATGTATCTCACAAACTGCCGTCACATCTGCTGCATGACATGTTCCAGAGGTCAAATAACGAGAGAACCAGTGTCTCAGAGCGAGAACGAGAGCTGCAGTCCACTTTAACCTCAGTTCTTCACCATTCATCCAGAAAATTAGCATCAGATTAATCGATAATGAACAATCTCCTCATGCATTGCTCAAGCTCTGTGAGGCTGAGCTAAATGCTAACATCAGCAGGCTAACACGTTCGCACACATTGCTAACATGCTGATTTTTAGAAGGTATAGTGGTCATCATGCTAACATTAGCTAATTAACAGTAAACGCAAAGTCCAGCTGAGGCTGATGCTAATGTCATTAGCGCTGCAGGTCAAAGACCAAAGTATTGGAACATTAAAGGGCCAGTTCACCCCAAATTTAGAACTCCATATTGTTCCTGCTACCTGTAGTTCTGTAGATAGTTTTGGTTGTGAGTTTTCAAGACATCAGCTGTAGAGATTTCTGCCTTCTCTCCAATATCATTTCTAGATTTAATCATTATTTCTGTAAATCCTCATTTTCTATGCTCAGTAACTTGTGGAGTCCCTCAGGGAATCATCCTGGGTCCTCTGAATTCCTGATCTTCATAAATATTAGAAACAGTTTAACATGTTGTTTCCAGCTGAGACTCCTCTCATGAATCTCCTGATTGGATTATCAGAACAATCAGATGGCGCTCGGCCTTAATGTTTACATCCTGCACCGTCACCAGTCCTCCTGCGCGGTGATACGTAGAAAGAAAATAGATCCTATGTGAAACTGCTCACAACAAAGTCTGTGGATTATTTAGTAACCGGGTCATTTATGAAGATCTGAAGAATTCACAGGAATTTCAGAGGACCCAGGACGCTTCCCTGAGGGACTCTACCAGTTACTGAGGGCAGAAAATGAGGATTTACACAAATGTTTTTAATGGAACATTTTTACTGTTTTATGTCCTGTTGTAACAATGAAATGATCCTGGAGAGAAGGCAGACATCTCCAAAACCTCCCAACAGTCCAGATCCATAAAGAGGTCTGCAGCTGGGAGGAGATCTCACAGGATCCTGAGACCTGTATCAGTGACTAACTGCAGTCTCACCTGTATGAATGCAGCCACACCTGTTGGCCACACAAACACTGTGGGTCACTGTGGGTGTGTTTGATTGCTTCTGCTCCACTTCATTGATCCACAGTTCCTGTTACTGATATTGATCAATATGAAATATCCAGAGAGTCTGATGATGATGATGATTGTTATGTGTCAGCAGAGATGAAGATGTGTTCCTGGCTCTGTGTTTCTGTATAAATATCATCAATAAATCATCAGTCAAACAGGTTCTGTAGCTTTTAATATCATTACAGTCGCTGCTCCAGGACCGGTCTGACCCTCCGACAACAGCTGATCTCACTGTCTCACTTCTACTGTCTCACTCTCACTGTCTCACTCTCTGTGTCTTTCTGCTACACATAAATTCATGTAAGAACGTACATGTTAACTTGTCTGTCCGTGTCTGTCTGTATCTGTGTCTGTATCTGTCTGTCAGTTGGAGGAGTGCACCCTTCAGTTGTCCCCCAGTGGAAACTATCTGGACCTGGACTCGTCCCTGGCGGAGCAGAGAGACGAACTGGAGAGTTTCTATGAAGACGTGACGTAAGCAGACTTTATTGATTACATTGATATTGATCCTCTGTGTACGTGGTGGACTTCAACCAGAGCGTCCTCAGCTCCAATAATCAATATGATTCTGATTGACTGCATTAATGACATTTAAGGTATATCTTATCTTAACGGATTGAAGTTGTTTACCCTCCAGTCCGATCCCAGTCAGAGGAAGCCTCTCTTTTACAGGATCACATTGATCCAGTCTGATCTGGAGCGGTTGGGCCTAAAGGCTTTGCTCAAGGGCACGTCAGTGGTTGTAAGGGTCACTCTCCCCACCCAGATTTATCCTGCTGGTTCCGGGCATCGAACCGACGACCTGCTGGACACCTTTAGGCCACTTTACTGCCACTCTCACTCTCTCTGTCTCTCTCTCACTCTCTCTCTCTCTCTCTGTCTCAGTCTGTCTGTCTCTCTCTCTCACTCTCTCTATGTCTCAGTCTGTCTGTCTGTCTCTCTCTCACTCTCTCTATGTCTCAGTCTGTCTGTCTGTCTCTCTCTCTCTCTGTCTCAGTCTGTCTGTCTGTCTCTCTCTCTCTCTCTCTGTCTCAGTCTGTCTGTCTCTCTCTCTCACTCTCTCTCTGTCTCAGTCTGTCTGTCTGTCTCTCTCTCTCTCTCTCTCTCTCTCTCTCTCTCTCTCTCTCTCTCTCTCTCTCTCTCTCTCTGTCTGTCTGTCTGTCTGTCTGTCTGTCTGTCTGTCTCTCTCTCTCTCTCTCTCTCTCTGTCTCTGTCTCAGTCTGTCTGTCTGTCTCTCTCTCTCTCTCCCTCTCTCTTAGTCTCTCTCTCAGTCTGTCTCTCTCTCATTCTTTCCATACCTCCATGCTGTCGTTCTTTCCATACTCTGGTCCCAGCAGGCCACAGGCTGCCTGTGTATGTTAATATGGAAAACTGTTCTTGGATCAGTGAGCAGCAGATAACATGTAGACGTTGAGTCTAGAGATCAGATGTGAGGAACACTGAAGGCCTCTGAAGGCTGCAGTTAAACCGTCCCCAGTCAGACTGAAACATTCCTGTTTCTAATAATGAAATGGAAATATTATCCACATTAATAATAACATTATAAAGTTCATTTTAGCACATTATTACGATTCTTGCCTCCAGATATTATATTTCAGACTGTATTTAGATTTTAAAACATATGCATAAATATCCTTTTCATAAACAGTTTGGAGATCAGTTTCCATCGTTCAGGAGCTGTTTGAACTTTAAGGATGTCAGCAGGTCGAACACACAGAGAGAGAAACAAAGAGTCTCACTCTTTCATCGGTTCTCTCTCTACTGCACAAACTGAAGCTGGAGATTGGAACCACAGTAATAATCAGACCAACACATGGATTTGTAATCTATAATAATACACATATAATGATATTATACTGATACTGATACATTACATATTGTATGTTTGAGCTGCAGATAAACGCAGTAAAAGCTGTAGTGGAGCATTAAACAGAAATACTATAATAAGTATCTGATATGTGCCACTGGTTCCCAGTGTGTGTGCTGGTTGTTTCTCTGTGGAGGAATAAATGTTTCTGTTTCCACAGAAAAGGGAAGAAGCCCATCCTGATCCTGAGGACTCAGCTCTCTGTCCGGGTCCACTCCATCCTCGGTAATTATCCTCCTCCTGCAGCTCTGATGAGTCAGGGGAAACTCTCAGTCAGGAGACGCTTTCTCTGACCACAGTGACGTGTTCGTCAGCTGGGAGGATTTCCTCTCTCTGACTCACTCACTAACACGTCTGTAGATGAGCTGGAGCTCCATTTCTGCATCAGCTGTTGGTTTTTTGTATTAGTCAACACGTTCAGGATGTTTCCTTCTCACATTGTTTCATCTGAAGGATCTTTTGTGGTGGTTTCAGGCTAACGGCGCCACCAATGGCTGCTCAGACTGACTCTGTGTTGGACTCTGTGTTGGACTCTGTGTTGTGGACTCTGTGTTGGACTCTGTGTTGTTGACTCTGTGTTGTTGACTCTGTGTTGTGGACTCTGTGTTGTGGACTCTGTGTTGTGGACTCTGTGTTGGACTCTCTGTGTTGGACTCTGTGTTGTGGACTCTGTGTTGGACTCTGTGTTGCCCACTGTTGGCACTCGGGAGCATAAAGGTCACAACCTTTGACCCTCATCCTACATAGAGACACATAGAGATCAGTCCACAGACAGCAGAGGGACAAAGCTCCACTACAACCTGTTCACTCTCTGCTCACACACACTGATACACACACACTGATTCACACAAACACACACACACACACACACACACACACACACACTGATTATTATAGAAACAGAACATCATTCACAGTCTGACATATGGAAGTTTTAAGTATCTGTGATTTTAGGTGCAGCAGGAACTTTTTATTCCTGTGTTTTGGCCAATGTGGGCTTCCATAGAACAGATCCAACAGCTCATGAGGAGCCGATGGTTGCTGCTGTTGTCTGTGTGTGTGGACCTGCAGCAGTCTGATTATGACTGAACCTCTGAGGAGGAAGATGATGAAGAGTGATATCAGGAATTGATTAGGAAATGTATTTCCTGTTGTTTGTATTTGTCGTATCTATAATTTCATCATCCTGATTGTTCATACTGTGATTTTCCTTCCGTCAGTCCCTCCTCTGTTGCTCCTGTCTTTTCTTGTTAAAAGAGTCGCCTGTGCACACTGTGAACTCATTTCTGATCAGTGATCTGTATAAATAAAACCTCCACAGTGGTGTAATTATGGCTGGCACACAGACCCGACACCAGCCTCTTGAAATCTGAAACGTCTGCTGCTTCTGGTTTGTGATTGGCTCGAGACCAGCAGGTGTATTCAGTCCAAGTGTTGTTGTGTTGTCCAGACTTATCTGAGATCTGCCTGCTGCCCGAGGCCTGTTTCTGTTTGGATCCTAACAGACCAAACCTCCAGTGTGGTTACAGGGTTTTTATTTTCAGCCTCAGTCTTTTTTTAAACCTTATCTCAACCTCTTGTGTTCCTGTTGTGTTCCTGTTCACACACCAACACCAGAAAGCTCCAGAAAGCTCCACAGTGTTAAAGTTTTATTTTCTGTAGCAATGTTCAAACAATGGCAGAAAAATTGTTGGCAGGGTGAGAAGTGGCGAGTGTTATAGACACATTAGCAGCACCACAAAGAGACAAAAAACTACTGCAAAGATCTCCTGAAATCCTTAAAGTTAAAGGAACTCATTTATTAAACTGGTTGATTTGTATTGATCTATTTATCTGTGCAAATGTTAAATCTGTTTAAGGAAGTGAAAAATGTAATCGTGTCATTTACATTCTCCCTTTAATCCGTCTCACTGCAGCAGTATGAGCCTAAAATAAACAGATTTTACTGATTTTAATGTCAATAAACAGATCAATATGAAGCTGGAATAACGACATCACGATGACGATGTGTAAAAAAATAGGGATGGCCCGATATTATCGGACATCCCTATTTTTTACACATCGTCATTTGTTCTGGAGGCTTCAGCATTTCCGAGCCTGCATGAACGCAGCATGGGACGTTTACCGGCGCGCGCTAGACGACGTATAACAACAACAACTACACGCTAGACTGGTTGGTTGCTAACCGTGGCTAACAAGCAAACAATTTAAAGCTGAATGATTTTAATATTAACACAAAATAAGTGCAATGCACCTTTAATATTTTACCCTACTATGAGCTGTTCCTTAACCAAACTAACAACTGGCTTAGAATTTACATTAGCACTCCTTCAGGTGAATAATACAATTAAACACATTAACCAAAGGTAGCGCTTAGCTAGCGCTTAGCGCTCTTTTCAGTATTAATACAATGAAAGTTGAAGTCGTTCTCTTATTTTGCACAGACAGTGTTTACATTTAGAAAGCCATGTTGCATTTATGTATGCATCCAGTGGGGCATCACCATAAAATTAGGCATAAAGGTTAATTCCACAATAGGAGATATGTTATGTTGTTACCTAACAGGTTTGGTGTAAAAAGCCTGCAGATATTGGTATCGGGTGATATCGGTATCGGAAATTGAGAGTTGGACAATATTGGAATATCAGCAGAAAAGCCGATATTGAGCATCCCTAACACTAGCGGTGCCAGGATTTTGATTGTGGGGCCGCCAGAAAACTGGATGGGCCAGTTAAAATATAGCCCTATTCATATGGGACTAGTAGCCTATTACCTGGGGACTTCATGTTATTTAGTAATAATTACCCCACCACGTCTGTGTTTCGTGTGGCCCATTCGCACGGGATAAGTGAAGCCTGTGTTTTAATTCGAATTTACTGACATTATCCCCCGGATATGATGTCAAGGCTAACAATAAAAAACCTAATAACTGGTGAGCCTGTTGAAAGATAGACAAATGTTCCTTACCGCATGCTGCCATGCATGTAATCAATCTAATTATCTTTCGAGATTTCACTCTTCTGATGGATTTGAGCTTGCTCTTTCTGCAAATGGGTCTCCATGCTTTGTACCTAGATGAGCCTCCTGAATTTGCACCCAAAATGCTGTCAAAACTTTCATTCATAATTGCCAACGCAGCATCCATAGGAGTAAGGCTTAAGCCAAAAATCATCTCTGTTTCAGCGCTCTTCTGCGGCACTGAGGACAGCGACTCAGTAGCCTACCTGTGTGGCTCTTGTGTCGCTGTCCTCAGCTCAGTGCTGAAGTGGACAGACATACATAAAACGCTATCATAAGTTACCTCTGCCTACTGCCAATATTATTTTTCCCTCCAGAAAATATGCATACAGACAGCCAGACACTAACGTTAACGTTAGCCTAACTGTTACTTGCCTACGGGAGGACTTGATGGGGAGAGGGCGGCCGAGCTGGATCATAACTCGTCACTCGTAACATTACTTAAAATGGCAGGAGTTTCCTCCTCCTGCTCCTTGGAGTGTTTCTTGGTGAATTTAAACGAAAACAAGCTGCAACACTGACTGCAGCACTGACTGCAACACTGACTGCAACATTGACTGCAACACTGACTGCAACATTGACTGCAACACTGACTGCAACATTGACTGCAACACTGACTGCAACATTGACTGCAACATGACTGAAACTGACTGCAACATTGACTGCAACACTGACTGCAACATTGACTGCAACATTGACTGCAACACTGACTGCAACACTGACTGCAACACTGACTGCAACATTGACTGCAACACTGACTGCAACATTGACTGCAACATTGACTGCAACATTGACTGCAACACTGACTGCAACACTGACTGCAGCACTGACTGCAGCACTGACTGCAACACTGACTGCAACACTGACTGCAACACTGACTGCAACACTGACTGCAACATTGACTGCAGCACTGACTGCAACACTGACTGCAGCACTGACTGCAACACTGACTGCAACATTGACTGCAACACTGACTGCAACATTGACTGCAGCACTGACTGCAACACTGACTGTAACTCTGACTGTAACTCTGACTGTAACTCTGACTCTGGGACCAGTTCCCACAGAACTGATAGAAACAGATCAGACAGGAGCTTAATACAGAACAGGCTCAGACCTGCACAGACACACAGTGAACAGAAAGAAAACTGTTGGATTGGTTTATCTGGTCTTAGAATCTGAACTAGAGTCCTGAAGTCATGAAGGACCCCCTGTAGGACCCCCTACAGGGGCGCTACAGGAGACATGATTAAACTATGGAGGGTTCGTCCTCTGAGTAGCTGGAAGGAGATCACAGAGTTTGATGTAAATCTGTCATTGTTGAGTTAAACCTCTCCTGGGAATCACTCAACTTTCCCAGAGTTCCCTCCCTCCCTCCCTCTCTGCCTCCCTCCCTCCTCTGCCTCCCTCCCTCCCCCCTGCGCTGCCTGGCATGACCCCACCCTTCCTGCTCGTAGGGGATTTCCCAGCATGCTTCCTCCTTCAAGCCCTGGCTCTGCTTTGAATAGCCTCTCCTGCTGTGTCATCCCTTCGTTTCTGCTTCTTTTCTGTGGAAGCGTTGCTTTGACGGATGTTGCAACAACTTGAACAGAACGAACCCAGAACATAAATGCTGGCTCTTTATTGGCTCAGTGTGAGACGCAGGAGGAGGCCAGTTTCATGTTGATGAATCATGTTTGTCCTCGACTCAACTCTGTTATGCTGTCAGCTCCTTTAAAGCTGCAGCATCCGCCACCATCTGCTGGTCAGATTGTAGATTGCATCCAAACGTAAAGGAGAAACTACGGAAGCTGCAAAACCCGCCAAAAATCCAGTGTTTGGTTTGTCTGTTCTGGGCTACTGTATAAACATGGCGGTTCAACATGGTGGACTCCGCCAGAGGAGGACCCGCTGCCTCTGTAGATAAAAACATCTCATTGTAACGATTCTTACAGTCAGCTGATTAAACACCAATGAAAACATCCCTATGGTCTCATATTTCACTCTGGACCTTTAACCGGGTTAAAGACTAGAACCTGGAGGACTCTGCAGATGACGACTGTGGAACAATAAAGTTGATTGTATTCTGTGTCTTTAAGAGCAGCCAGCTGGAAGCAGGGCAATAACAAAGTGGCTGTGTGGGCAGTTAATTTTAGAAGGGGCATTACAGGCACATAGCGGGGCATCCACAACCCTGGCTGTGGTATTATTCTCCCAACAGCTGCCAG